ATTTCACCTAAATTATTAGACGGCAAGCGGATCTTATTTTGTTATAGCAGCAGTGTGGGGAAAAAGCTTCTAAGATTCTATTGTCTCACTGATAGCCTGTTTTCCTTTTAGTAACTTATTTTAAGCACTTCTACATTATACCTATTCTGATTCCTCTAGTTTGATCCCTTACTGTTGGAATTTCTCCTTCTCTCCACTTTGGTGAAACTGGACAACAGCTTGTGGTGATCTCTTGATACTAATCTTCCATATGTCTAAAACAGCCTTTTCTTTCCAAAGTGATTAATCCACCTTCCCATTTTTACACTTTGCTGTATTTCCCAAGCCTTACACACCTTTGTTTCCCAGTGGATCCTCTTTAAGCATTTCCCATTCCCCACCCCGCTGGGGAAATCATGCCTTTGCTGAACTGAACAATACTAAACATAGAATGTGACAGTCACTTCATGTATTCTCTCTCCACTCAGTGCTGCATAATTCTATTTGCATAGGGGTTTCCAAGGGGGTATAAATAGCACTCTCCTGTTGTATTCTTTTGCAATAGCTAATAGAAAAACCATATGATTATTTTATAAATTCAGATTTAAGTAGAGATTTCTTTAAAAGCAAACTTACAGCTTACAACCTTATTATTGACTTTTAAAAATTTATTAAGGGGTGTTTTTATTTTTATAAAGTACGTTTCTTTTCCATAAAGTGGGTATTTTTAATTGAAGTATAGTTGATTTGCAAACGTGTCAATTTCTGCTGTACAACAAAGTGATTCAGTGATACACACACACACATACATATATATAAGTACACATTAAAAATATCCTTTTTCATTATGGTTTAATCATAGGACATTGGATGTAGGTCCCTATGCTATATAGTAGTATCTTGTCGCTTATCCATTCTATACCAAACAGCTTGCATCTGATATCTCCAAACTCCCACTCCGTCCTCTCTGCCCCCCACCCCCACCCCCCAGCCACCACCTGTCTGTCCTCACTGTCTGTGAGTCTGTTTCTCTTTCATAAATAAGCTCGTTTGTGTCATACTTTGGATTGCACATTATAAGTGAGATCATATGGCATTTATTTGTATTGTTTAGGTTTTTATTGGAGTATAGTTTAACATACTATTGGACTATAGTATATATATATAGGATTATAGTGTGTGTATATATATATATATATATATATACTATTGGAATACAGTATGACACAATTTTACAATGTTGTGCTAGTTTCAGGTGTACAACAAAGTGAATCAGTTATACATATACATATATCCACTCTTTTTTAGATTCATTTCCCATATAGGTCACCACAGAGTATTGAGTAGAGTTCCCATTGCTATGTAGTAGGTCTTTATTAGTTACCTATTTTGTATATAGTAGTGAGTATATTGCAATCCCAATTGACTTTTTATTTAACTTCAAATTAGGCAGGTTGGTGAATTTGTGTGATACTAAGATACAGTAAACTTTGGTAATCTAAAATAATTTGCCTTTCTGCTCTTTTCCTTCAAGAACACAAAAAACATTATTAGTTTATATATCTTTAAATTACCTTTTTTATTTATTTATTTTTAATTGAAGGATAATTGCTTTACAGAATCTTGTTGTTTTCTGTCAAACCTCATCATGAATCAGCCATAGGTATACAAATATCCCCTCCCTTTTGAACCTCCCTCCCATCTCCCTCCCCACCCCACCCCTTGGGGTTGATACAGATCCCCTGTTTGAGTTTCCTGAGACATGCAGCAAATTCCTATTGGCTATCTGTTTTACATATGGTAACATAAATTTCCATGTGCAACTATGGCTGCATCAATTTACATACTCTAAGTTGCAAGAACTGAATGTGTTTAGGGATAAATTATGTAGAGAGGTAAATATACTTTTCAAAAAGAGTAAGAACATAGCATTTTTCTTTGTGGGCAGTGGTGGAAGTGTATTTTGACATGTTTAGAAAATAAAGTATTATTTATTATCTGTTAGTAAAAAGTAGACTGGATTAAGTAGGCACATAGCTTTCAGAGTTCATCTATTCCTTCAAAAATTATTTCTGAGTGTTGCGTGTCAGGCACTGTGGTAGGCGTTGGAAATACACAAGTGAAGAATGCAATCAGCATCCCCGCCCTCACAAGGCTTAAAACTGAATGATGGGTACTTGCTGGTTATTCTGTTTGTCTCCCTTACCAGCCACCCTCATCTTCCCTCAGAATCTCCGCCCTCCTTTTGTATTGCCAGCTGTATTCTCTGGGGTTGCAGGCTGGCTTCTAGTTGCCTTTCAGTCATGAACTCAGAAGCAGAAGATCAGAATGCACAAAGAAAAAGTCAGGACATGAATTTCCTGCTCCTGTCCTCAGCTGTGTTCCTCTAATGCATCTCTGCACAGCTCTAGCTGCTGTAGGGTGGTCCCCGGACAACACCGCATCTTCAGGCCTCTGCTTCAGGTGACAGTGCCTTCCATCCTTGCTCATTTTGGTTTCAGGGTGAGAATAACTTCTTGCTATCACTAGTCTGTGGATACTTCAGTTTCTTTCTTAGTTCTCTTGGATCTTCAGTTTATGCCTAAATTCTTTTGAGCTATCTGAGTCTTTCCAGTTGGATTCCTGACTGATAAAGTGAATCTTGTTTTTTCAAGTAGTGAAACACATATGCGAATATTTTAAAACTGTGTTAATGTTGATGAAGAAAAATATAAGATTTAGATACAGAGTAATGGATGTGAGTTATATACTTCAAGTATTGTACATGAAGTCTTAGAGAATGATGTTTAAGTTGAGATCAGAGAATAAGTGGGGGCCTAGAGGAAACAAGGGCAAAGCCCATGAGATAGAATAGAGCTTAGTATGCTCCATATCAGAATTTGGTTCTATTAGTCTATGGGGAACATTTAGTTAAACTACTCTAGGTGGACAGACTGAGGTGGCAAATCAGCTTGAGTGGCAACATGCTGATCCATAGTACTGAAGATTTTGGACAGGCAAAGGTATACCAGGGAATCTTGTACTTATTAAAGTGGGATGCAGCTCAGTGAGCTGTAGGAATAAAGCAGATGCTCAGGTATTAATTTGAAATTGCTGTGATCATGTTGAGATGCAATGATGATCTATTCCACACGACAATGTGCTCTACAGAAATTAACATATGTAAAGATGCTATTTCTTTGATCTTATTTACTTTCAACAGAGTGGTAAATTAGTCTTTAGGTAGGGATAAATCTCTTCATAGCATGTTCTTTCTCTTTTTCCCATAATTGTGACACTTCACATAAAGAATAGGCAGCAGAGACCTTCTTGACAGTCTGTGTGCTTTGTTCACCTTCCTACATATTTATTTATTTTCATGGGGAAAGAGGGAGTAACAAAGAAGGAGTGGAGAAGCTGAAGAAAATATAGTATTAAAAGAACTTAATTTGGCAGTTAGATCCAGCCTAGAATGAAAGGGACTTTATGGATCAATTTACTAAGCATATTTCAAGACTTCCGAAAGCAAACACATCAAATTTATTAAATAAGCCTGCCTGGGGAAATATCCCATATTGCTTTTTCTCTATAAATCGAGTTCTCTAATTTGTTTTACAGTATGACCTCCTTTCGTTTGTGGCTTTAGTGCAAATTCTGACATTTAAAAATTATTTAACTGTAGGATATACTAAAACCTTTGACATCAAGCCAATATAATTATTTTTGTATTTATCAGAATTGAGCAGTTCACTTGGGGCATTTTCAAGCATACCTGACACCACAACTTTGGAAATTATGAAAAACATGACTTTTAAGGTAATATTTAATTATTAATATATATGGGTTTGGAAATCTTCCTCGGATATCTGCCAAGTAACTCCTGGATGAATTTTAAGTTATTGAAATATACTTCCTCTTACAGGCATCTTTTGTTGGACTGCTCAACACTTTTGATGGACCAAACAACAATGTATTTTTTTTTAATTGATTATGATCTGACTGCTATTTAGATTTAAACAGAATTGCACATTATTTCAAATAGTTTTTATATTACAAAACATGGTGATTACTATTGTTATGTTCTAAAACACCTTTTATTAGCAGAATTTTTCATATTTACTAAGATTTTCACACCCATAGACTAAGCCTACTACAAATATATTTATAGAGCATGTTTTATTTCCAAGTATGTTATATTTATGCTGTGGGAGTTTGCTCACCATGACTGAAGTTGAATGATTAGTAACTCTGATAGAGATGCATTTATGCAAATTATAATTATAGAGTCTAGAAAGGACTCTGAGGTCTTATCACCCTAAAACCACAAAACAGCAACAGTCTATTTAAAATAAATCATAATACTCTAATCAAATATAATCAAAATCTCACTCATATTTTTATGCCCAATATTCTTATTGTAAACATCATTGACAAGTGATTATACATTGTGAGATTTAAAGTCTCAGAAATAAATCATTAAGCATAGCAAGCATTATAGTGTGGTATAAATCATCTTCCAGATTTGGGGAATAATTGCATGTTGTACATATTGACAGCTGGTGTTATCATGTTACCATTATTCCAGAAGAGATTAATCTGTTGGACCAGAGTGACTATTATCTTTATGATTGTTATACTCTTGTCTTATTATGTCTTGTCAGAATCTATATCTTTTACATAGGGAGAGGATAGGACCTCATCCCTTTTTTATTTACATCATTGCTGCATAAAATTTAAGAATGATACTGAAATTTTAAGACAAATGAGCAAAGACATGTGAAGCTCTTCTTTTATTACATTTCCTTTATGTTACAATAGCAAAATTATATACATTATTGCTCAGAGAAATGACCAAAGAGATAATTATAATTGGTTACTTCATCAATTCCCATTTGCCTCTCTTTAAAAAAATGAATAGCCACCAAGGAGCTTCAAGGTTTAATTCAAGGAAAATAAAACCTAGCAAAGTAAGTGATATAAAAATAGGACGTGTCACATTGTAATAAACAATTGTGTCTAATTATAGAAGTATGTGTACTTACTTGCCAAGTGCAAAGCACTCCATCTTAACAGTTGTTCCCTTAGCAGCTGTAACTGTGAGAGGGAAATGGACCTCAATTTTCGGCTCATATTCTCCCATCACACCTGGGAAATAAAGAATAGTCTTTAAACATTAAATGAATGTCACAGTTTCTTCCCAGTTCTGGAGATGGTACATTGAAAACCACTGTGTTGTCCACATCTGTCTGAAGACAGCTGAATTTTTGATGCATTGAAATAAGAAGTGCACACAGACTTAAATTATGATGAAATTCTAATCTATCTTTAAGGACTGGATTGCATGTATATTCAATACCCTTTAAAATAGTGATTGTTGAAAGTGCCAATCAACATTGGTAGTTTAGCTACTGATTATATTTCAGAGGAAATAAGTAACTATGAACAATTTATTGAATATCTATAATATGCATATATTCTGTTAGGCATTGTGGGTGATACAATGATAAATGGGTTGTGCTCTCAAGCATTCAAGTGTATTCTTAAAAAAAGAAACAGTATTTACTCAAGGGTAGGAAAAGAACCAAGCTTCTCTGGTGGTGCAGTGTAAAGAATCTGCCTGCCAATGCAGGAGATGCAGGTTCAGTCGCTATGTCGGGAAGATCTCCTGGAGAGGGAAATTGCACCCATTCCAGTATCCTCGCCTAGAAAATTCCATGGACAGAGGAGCCTGGCGAGCTACAGTGAGGTCCTCTGTCCATGAGGTCGCAAAGAGTCGGACATACTAAGGATCACAAGCACCGGAGAAAAGAGTCACACATCAAAGTCGTTGTAATGTAAGATAGAAAGTGACGTTAAAGTTAGTCACTCAGTCGTGTCTGTCTCTTTGTGACCCGGTGGTCTGTAGCCCGCCAGGCTCCTCTGTCCATGCGATTCTCCAGGCAAGAGTACTGGAGTGGGGAGCCATTCCCGTCTCCAGGGGATCTTCCCCACCTGGGGACCAACCTGGGTCTCCTGCATTGCAGGCAGATTCTTTACTGTCTGAGGCACCAGGGAAGCCCAGAAGGTGATAAATGCCCTGAATGAGGTATCCTGAAAGTATTATGTGCCTTTGAGGGAATTATATGAATAGTTCCCATTTGTATAAGTGAGAGAAAGATAGGAGAAAGTAAATGGAACCACAGGAACAATGACAAAGAGATCAGAAACCACCAGAAATAGGAATATCAGTTTCTCTGGCCTCTTGATTTGTGAAGGGAAGTCATACTAGGCAAATTTGGAAATATAAATGGAGTCAAAAAACTAGAGGACCTTGATTATCAGAGGAAGGCATTCAAACTTTAATCTGTTAAGTAATTTGGAGTCATTGGAGTTTCAAATAGGAGACTGGCAACTTGCATATATATATGTATACATACATATATATATACACATATATATATATACATATCTGGAATTGGAGCAGAGAACAGTAGATCAATTATATTGCTTCAATAAGATAAGTTTGAAGTAATGAAAACCTGGACTTGAGTTATACAGTAAAAAAGGAGAAGAGGCATTAGAATGAGAAAAAAAAATAAGAAAGACTTGAACTTGGCACACAATAGGGGTGCTGGTGAAAATGTTGTGGGCCTCGTCAATAATAACACTAAGATTTACAGCTTGAGAAGGAGGTTGAGTGATGTAAGTAAAAGAAAAAATGAAACTTGGTGGGAAAAGCTATGGTGGGAAAGCTGACTTTCATTTCAGGAGTATCATCTTTGATGCTATATAATATTCAGAATGCAGTGAGAGGACAAAGCTGGCGGTAAGTTTGGGCAGGTGATGTGCACTTAACGGCATCACTCACAGGTGGCGGTTAAAGCCATGAGCTTGGAGAGGGTTTTCACATATCAGAGAATAGTATACTATGAGAATCACTTTGCTGCACAACAGAAATCAGTACAATATTGCAAGCCAACTATATTTCAATTAAAAACAAAAAATACACTAGTGATTGCGCTCTCTGTCAGTCTTGGAACTAATTTCCTCCCCAAAATAATTTTTAGCAATCCCACAGAGGACACAATTGTGATTGAGCACAGATGCTTCTCTAAGGAGTCTTTGTGTGCATATTTTGGCATGTCTCTCTTCAAAGGCATATGTGTACATAGAGATCTGTGTGTGTGTATAGCTCTATGTGTAATTCCTTGGTGTGTGAGGGATGAGCAAAGAGAAAAGAGAAAGAAACTCAGAGAGGAAGAAAAAATATGAAGGCAAGATGCTCTGGACGTGCAAAGAGAGAAATAGCTACCTTTGGCAAAAAAAACCCAAAAAAACAAAAAAACTTTATATTTTATATAAACCTTATATAAAATTTATATTAATTTTTATTATTATTATTTAATTTTTTAAATTTGAGATGGTCTTTGAAGGAAGAATGTGGACAACTTTAGATAGAAAGTGTTTAAGTTCACTGTGGAGAACATTATCTCGGCTTTTATTTATTTATTTATTTTTGGTACTTTTTTGCAAAGCAATCATTGAGAAAATATCACTGATTTTTCATCAAGCTTGTGGACACTGGTTCTGTTTAAAACTATACAATGGCATCTCTGATGTGTCAGTGGCCTCTGTGACACTCTTTTTCTAATCTTTAAACTGGGGTAATAGAAGAGAACTACCATTAATGTAACGTGCTGCTCTGTCAGGCTAATTCCCCCGATTCCTTCCAAGTAATGTTCCCTGAGCACCAGAAGCCTGGCATATACTAGGGAACTAAGTGGTCAGTTCTACATCACTCAGAACAGATGTTTAAGAACTTCTTCTCCATCTCTTTCTCAATAATGTTTTTCTCTTCAAACTTCTTTTTTCTTAGATCATTCTGCCCTACCCACATATTTTTCAACTTCCTTTCTTTTACATTTCTATATTTTTCTTTTTTCCTACATATTTCCTGATGGTAGTATTTGGCCTGCTTGTGATAACTGGCTGAGTGTATCCAATGAAAAGGAGTTTATCTTCAATGTCCTAATGCTTGGAAGTCCCCATAATAAACACTCCCCGGCATCCTATTCAGTGGTTACCTTTGACTGCCCGCCTGAAACAGTCCCTGAAGCCAGCTTCTGATCTTCTCATCCCCTCTTAATACTGATTCTGTAGTATTCTTTTTCCTGTTTGTCAGTCTGATGATTTAGCAATACATGATTTACCTTGATGCCTATTAAACTTAATGCCCTACTTGCATAGGTCACTGTGAGTGTTGGAAGTTGCTGAGTTCTGTAGAATGTTGTAGAAAGGCAGTGAAAGTCAGACTGAATTTAGAAAATATTTCTATATAATTATTTGCAGCACATTGTTTAAAGACATCTCAGAAGAACTTGAATCGCCAAACTCCAGTAATTTGTTTTGATTATTTTTTCCTATTCTAACTAAAATTTCCCTTTATAATCCATTTTTATAATAATACTTTTGCAATTTTTTATTAAAGAATGTCTACTAATTGTACAACATTGCAGACCTTCAAGACTTGGATCTGCCTCTAAATAATACCAAGGGTATTACTGACACTATGGGCTAATAGGAGCCAGGCCCATGTCTTCTCTCAATTCTCTTCCAGATAATGTTTGTGAGTTGCAAAGAAGATATTATTTTATAGCTTTAATTCTTAAGGGTGACTCTAAGGAAAGACACTCCTCATAGTATTTTGGAAATAATTTTTGTCCATGTAAAGGCTTCTGGTGCTCCTTAAATGATTTCTGTACAGCCAAACACATTATTAAGCCTCACTCCAGGGCCCAGGGGGTTTGTTAACATCTGAACTGGATATTAAATATAGAAAGTTTAAATTCAAGGCTTCAAATTATATTACCTAGCTTGAACTGCACTGTAAGAATTAACTAGTTCTTTGAAATTTCACTCTGATAGTGGTGATATGAGGATAGATGAGAAAACTCCTTAGGCATGTCTTGTTCTTTAACAACTTGATTACATTCAGGGATTAAGCTTTGCTTTGTGTTTGCTTTGCAATGGGATAATTATGTTAGAGCTAAAATTCACATTAAGTTATATAATTTACCTTCTTTTTTTTTAAAGATGAGAGGGTTGAGTCCAAAAGGTGAAGTAATTGGATCAAAGTCCTATTGAAAGCTGTTGGTGGAAATGGGACAAAATAGGAGTTTTTTCCCCTTAAGTTTACAGCTGTTTTCTTGACATCACTCTGTTGAGGAATTTTAATCACAGAGTATAAGAATCCAGGCATATCACATGTACCAACCAATCATTAACTGTCTACCATGGATATTTGGATTATTTCAACTGCAATTTTTAATATCTCATCATATGCAGCTTAGCTTGTAATTTCTTTATTTTTTCAGTATGCTCTGATGACAAAAGGAAAGAGAAACAGCCTTATAAGACACATAAAGATATAAATTTTAGGCTTGTCTCTTCAGTCAAGGTAACTTTTATTTTTTGATAACTCCTGGTATTAAGCTGAATATGCTCAAGAGACACTATGTTCTGTCTTCATCTCGTTCCCCACACCTGTCTTTCCTGGCTTAGTTGGCTGACCCACTTTGAAATTATATGTCACTAGAAGATGACCTCAAATTATTCTAGTTCCTAGTAAAACAGAAGGCTTCCAGCTGATAGCACAGTACTCTCCTTCTATGTCTTCATGGTTGTGGATTTTCTTATACTCCAATTACTTGCAAAGAGTTAGAGTGCTTTTCCTAAGTGGAATGCAATTTAGAGCAGTGTTTCTTCAAGTGCATTGGCAGAACAAAGATACAATGACTTCACAATAATTTGGAAAATTTACCAAAATTTTAGGCTACAGGTGGAGAAGGAAATGAGAACCTACTCCAGTATTCTTGCCTGGAAAATTCCATGGACAGAGGAGCCTGGAGAGCTACAGTCCATGGGGTCACAAAGAGTCAGCATGACTGCATGCAGGCTACAGAGTTCAATTTGAAGCCCAGTGATATATAAACTTTGGAAATGGGACTACAGACTGCATATTTTAATTGTTTTTCTTGATGGTTTTATATACATTAAAAAAATTCAAGTTTGGGCCTACCTTGATACTGGCTTTTATCATGTTACTTGTCATTTTGAGATTAGAGTGTAGCAGACAAATGACTGAAAGAATGCCATACAGAGAGTCT